CTGCCCTATTACTTCCTTATTTGCTAATTCAGGGCATGCATCATATTGTGCCTCCAGTCACATGAGGAGTGCTTCATAAAACTGGTTTAGTTTTATATTTTGTTCTCATTTGGGTTCCATAAAGCTGGGTCCCTCTGAGTCTGACTCAGTTACTATGGCGACTAATCCAGTAAAAGGAGCCTGGTCGGGTCCAAGTTTAGAGCCGACTTAACCTCGTCCACGCTCGTCATAATAATCCCGATACTGCTGGGAGTTAGGAAGGAGCTAGGACCAGGAAGCAGGAATGCCTCCTTGCACCAATCCATTAATCATAAGGACCTCCTGACGTTTCAAGCCACCGAGGAGGTATATGGTTACCCATAATCCTTTGCATGACGTAGAGGAACAGCCCACCTCACAGAGTTAAACAAAAAAAAATAAATAAATAGAATTTTATTGATCTCACAATGGAGAAAATAACTCTGCATTTAACACATCTCCTTTCAGGAGCAGTGTGGGGTTAAGGGTCTTGCTCAGGGACCCAGAGTGGCAGTCTGTGGGAGTGGGGCTTGAACTCAGAACCTCTGGATTTAAAGCTCTATGCCCTGACCACAATGCCGCCACTCCACCTCTATAAGACATAATCCTAGTCTGGAGTTGGTTTCCTACCCTGGATAGTGTTAAAATTGTTAGCCCTGCGGATGGTGAAGGAACAGGAGGTTGGAGCTAAAATTTGAGGTATTAGGATTGAGCCTAAAGCTACGTTCACATCTAATGTACTTTTGGCAGCAGAAGTAGTCACTTTACATGCAAAGTTAATGGTTCATCAAAAGGCTCATCGAAAGGTCCTGCAGCGTGTAGAGCAGCAGGAGCAGCGCCTCATGAGCTTCTGAGCATCAGAAGCAGCAGCTGCTGGAGATGGACAAAATGAACTTTTGCTGCTCGTCGGCACATCGACCAATGAGAGAGGCTGATCTGGGAGCTGACAGGGAATCAGACGCAGCACTGCTGATGCAGAGCGCTATGATCACTCCTCTGAAACAGTTTATTAACGCCTAAATTAACTTCAAATGTAGAAACCTGCCAGCTAAATATGTTCGCTTTTATATTCTGCTGCCTGCAGTTTGGATTATACGGAGCGCCTAAAGGGACATGGAGGGGAAAAAAAGAACTTTTGCGAGATCCCGCAATAGTTTTGCAAGATCTCACAAAAGTATTGCGGGATCTCGCAAAACTTTTGCGAAATCACGGAAAAAAAGAACTTTTGCGAGATCCCGCAATAGTTTTGCAAGATCTCACAAAAGTATTGCGGGATCTCGCAAAACTTTTGCGAAATCACGGAAAAAATGAACTTTTGCGAGATCCCGCAATAGTTTTGCAAGATCTCACAAAAG